TTTAACACAAACCAATGAATAATATTATTAATTGACACCAATTTTTTTATTAATTATATGACTCCATAATTAGAAGAGAAAGAAAACCAAGTTAAACTATAAAGAGGATAAAACATTCTTGTGGAACTAAACATATATTCCTAAGGGGTGGAGTTCTACAGTGAAAATAAAATAATCCGTTGTTTTTAAATTGAAATTTAACTGCTTCTAGAAATAATTATAAAAATCAGAAAGAATACGGTGATTAAAAATATCTCTAAAAGACACTTATATAATTTCAAATACGAAGTTTTTAGCTTTCCAAAAATAAATGTAAAAATTTAAAGTTTTAAGTAGTGAAATTTCTAATATAGAATGTCATTATTCAAAATTTCATATTTGAAATTTCATATTTTTATTTACATTTTTGGTCATTACAATTATATATCATATTTATACATCTTATATATTAAAACAGAAGTCATGACTTGATTTCATGTGTGATTTTTTAAAAAATGGACTATTACTAGAAAGTTATGTTACATTAACTCTCTAATAATCTTATCATTATTATATCTTATGAAAAATCATATTTATAATAACAAAAATACGCTTAACAATTTGGTTTTGGTAAATTACCCAACACCTTCCTACTTAGTCACGCAAAATATGTCAATAGATATAAGTTTAGGAATCTTCTATTATTTATAAGGAAATATGTCAATAATAATTAAATCCATCCACAATCTATTAACAAAAATCACAGATTCGTAATATGGAATATTTATATACCCTAACAAAATTTACACGCTATATATACTAGATAAATTTATTTTGATGTAAATTTTCTAAAATTATATATTTTTTTAAAATGAAATTGTTTAAAAAATTATTTTTTTAATAAAATTCTTTATAATATTAATTTATGAAGATATAAGTTTAGTTTTTAGTAAAAATTTCTTCGAAATTTATATTATCTTTGTAAATTAAAGTATACTTATATTTAATCAAGCTCTATTTATATTACTTTATCTAAAAATGAAATACCAATCTTAACAAACAATAAAATATAGAAGAAGAAATAAACACATATTTGAAAAACATGTATAATATAAAAGATTTGAAACAATCTATTTGATTAAAACACGTATTATATAATATTATTATGTTTGAAAAATATTTACTATACATATCGTAAATATGTGATTACTATAATATATACCAATTTATAAGTGAAAACAAAATGTTTATATAACAAACTATATACGAAAACAAACACCCGCACGGTTGTGCGGGTCAAAATCTAGTAATCTTTTAAAAAACATCATGATAAGATTTAAAATATTTTAAACTAAAACTAGTAAACAATTATATTGCAAGATTTAATGTGGTATTTTTCTAGTTTAGTTATTTAATTATATATTTTATTTGTAATCTTATACTTTAATGTAACATTTTATCAATTAATATTGATGTAATATTTTTTTTATTATATGTGCTAGTTATTTAAAAAATTATTATAAATTTAAATTAATTATGACAAATATAAAGACCACAGTGTAAAATACAAATAGTTTTGAACTTAATTTTGAAATTTTGATTTGGTATATAACATTTTAAAACATTAAATATAAAGCCTTACAAATTTTAAAGTATAGAGTATTTTTGAGATACTCTTAACGTAAATTCTACCACCTACATATTTTTCTTTTTGGCTTCGTAAGTTCATACATAACGCACCCATATGCAGCACACTTATTTATTGCATATTGAATTAACAAACTGGAACTTTTTCTGCTAACTAATGTATATGGCTTGAAAACTATTTCAACCCCAAAATTTTAGAAACACGTCTAGCAGTTTTTTCACCTGTAAAAATAGCAAACCATTTACTATAATTTGAAAAATCTCTTCATATACTTTACCGCGTATGTACGTATGTAATATATATATAGGTTCAGTTCAACAAAAAAAAAATATATATATATATAGGTATAATTTTTATTTTGTAAATTTTAAGATAATCATAAACAAATAAATTGTAGTCTTTTCACATGGTTGTAATGTAATTAAATATAACGATCAACTTTTCCTTATGTTAATTAAACAAGTATTACATTTCAACAAAAATGTTTTTGTTGAATAACCTAAATTAGTCAGTGTTTTTGAGCACTATTAAATCATTTGTCTCCAAGAGAACTTAAGCTACCACACATTAACAATTACAAAGTTGTAAACCAGAAGAATCATTTTACAAATAAGCGACTTAAGTATTCCAACGCCAAAAAGAGAGGGACAACAATATAAAAGTGAACTCTCCTTTATGTGGTTATTTTACTTCATCCAATAAATTTTCAAACACACATACGTGGAAAATTCTTCAAGGCATATTCGACATCCATATATATATTTCTAAATCTCAAATGTATCATATGTTATATTGAAACTTATGCAAGGCATATTCGATCTCCATGCTTGTCTATCTAAACTTTATCAGTACGTACTATTTATAATATTTTATCCAAATTTTTGTTCATATGCATATATATATATATATATATTTATATATTTATATCAACAAATTCTACAGAAAGCAAAAATTGTTCTAAAACGCTGAAACATTTCAAATATTCTTTAGAACAAAACGACGTGTACACGGCTTTCTCACCGTTGATACATTATTTAGGCTATATTCGATAATTTAACGTATTTATTATTGTTCTTTTACCTTTTCATGTCAACATGATATATTCTTCTTTCCACCAGAGAAATAAAAGCATACTAAATTCTGATCTGCATGCATTAAGAAGATTTTATATTTATAAAATTTATTAAATAAATATTATAATTCATAATTTATGATCTGCATGCATTCAGGCCAATGTAATTTTATTTTAATTATTTTTATAGAAGTTAAGTTTTGAAGATTAAGAGGAATTATAATCATTATTCTATATAGATTTTCTTAATTTAACTATATAAAATTAGATAAAATATTTTATGAAAATATCATTTTACTTTTATTACATGTATATTAGTTGAGACTTCAATCTTAAATTTTTGAAATGAAGCGAAAGTATTAAATGCTATGATAATAAATACCTTTTTATATTTTGAAGAGTAATTTTTAATATAAAATGTAAAATATATTATAGTTATACTATTAACTAATCAGTACTATAATGTAAATTTAATAAAAATATAAATTAATGCATAATTACGTATTTCAAAAATTATCTAACTATATGATATTTAATCGTATAATTAAGTTTGAGCAAAATATCAGAATCCAAAAAATTGAATTGACCTCGATTACAACAACATATATTGAACTGAAATTGACAAGATATCTGACTGGATCCAGAATTTTAGTATCTGAAAACCCGGATCGAAACCAACATGATATCTAAAAAATTTAATCGGATATACCTAAATCAAATTTATATACTGAAATATATTTATTTTTTTAGTTCTCACTAAATATCACAAAATACTCAAAACCTTGGAAATACCCTAAATAACTATTACTTCTTCATCAAAATACCTATACCTAAGCAATTTTCATGATAATTTTAGGTATTTAACATACATTGTTCAAATTTATATATTGTATTATATTTTATTTTTGTATTTAATTTATATTGACACTTTTAAATTTCTTTACATAATTAAATAAATATCCAGACCCGTAAAGATCTAATCCGAATTTGTAAATACTCAAATAAAGTTTAATTTTCTAAAAGTAGGTGTCTATTTTTTTGCTGTAAATAGTTTTTATATCGTAGATCAAAACTTGATATAATTCTGTATTTATAGTATTTATATTTGTATTAAACGATTTATCAATTTTAAAATAACCTTAATTAAGTTAATATTCGTTGTTTAAGTTTCATTAGATGAGTTTTTATATATGTTTTTTGTAAGTTTGAGTTTTGTTCATAAATGATGTGATATTTTTATCTATGGCGTCATCGACTGTGGGAATCCATTCGCCGGAGTCTGGAATCGGTGGTGAGGAATATTTTAATGAAATCATAGTAATTATTAAAATGTAAGAGAAATTACATATTCATTTAATAAATAACGAAAATAATTAAATTTTGTTGTTTTTTCTTATTTTATCTCACATACAATTTTTTGAAAATATATATTAGGAAATATGTGCAATTACTTAACTTTTTGAGCTTTTAAACTATATTATTCAAGCCTCATTAAGCCATCTATGTAGGCAGCCGCGTGGGACTCATTTTTTTTTATTTTTTGGTCTGTTCGTTTTTGGATCTATTTTTTATTATTTTTGGGTTGAGCTATATTATAATAGGATAGTTTTAAGGCTCTTTAAGCCATCCGCGTAGGCAACCGCATGAGATTTGCTTTTTTGTTTTTTTTATTGCTCGTTTTTGGATCTATTTTTAACTATTTTTTTGTTTAAACTTGTTAAACTTTAAGGTTTATCCAACTATTTTGATCTTTAAAACAATAAGCAAAAAACATAAAAATCTTATAAACAAAAAGTTCATATGATAATAACTCAAATCAAAAAATAAAAAATACATGATAGATGCGTGGTTTGAAACTCATGATCTTACATGCTTAATTAGACACCTTATACCAATTGGCTAAAGTTTATTTCATTGTTTGTAATCATCTTATCAAGATTATGAGTTTTTAAAAAATACCTACGAGATCCACAAAACTGCTGACGTGCCGTGCTGTAGAGCTTAAAAAGTCTACTATATTATTATTATATTATGTATTAGTATTAGATACAATCTTTCCTTATTTGTGTAATGATTATGCCGGGCCTCGTGTGAGGAAACAAAAGCCCTTTAATTTTCTGTTTGGTGTTTATTAGATCCGTTTCAAATTCTATTGTCTTTGTCGTTCCCAAACGTATACTTAGCCAAGCGAGGTCTGCTACAACCTCCCGAACCGATCCCTAACTTAAAACTAGTCATCCATCGTTTTGGCTATATTATGGAACTGTTATGACAAATGGATCAATATTATTCTGCATTTAGGGAATAGCTTGGAACAATTAAAGTCTCCGTGCATCTGGAGGCAGCGAAACTCAGCAGTGCATCTCACAGGATTCTCCCCAACTCAGATAACATTCAATAACATCAACGAGGACATCCGAAACACGATCAGTGCGAGAAGACATAGGAGGAAGTTCATTCCACTTATGCAATTATGGATTAGATGATTCTGTTATTTAATCTAGTTTTTCATGTGACCACCTTGTTTTTTATTTCTTTTTTGCCAAGGTATCACTTAATTTTTAGGCTTATGTAACCCTAAACCTTTCATTTTTATGAATATTCACAGTTTAGCAAAAAAAAAAAAATTAAAGTCTCCGTGTTCCTTATCTGTCTCATCCTCGCATTACAGTTTTGCACTATTACAAAGTTGAAAATACGGTTAAGTGATAAGTGGTGGCTTGGTACGACCGTGGGATATGTTTTCTGCATCTTATTTGTGAAACATAGTTCAGGTTGTATTTGACACTGAATGTTTGTTCGGGTTGTATTTGGCACGATTGAAATTGTTTGGGTAGGAATAGGTCCTTTTCCCTACAACACATGTATGTATTTCTGGTTGCAGCTGCATTTACGCTAGCTTTTGCAACCTACGTTGTACTTAAATGGTTCAGAGACTATAGATGAGCAAACAAACACTTAAATGAACATTCTAAGCAAGCAAAGCACCTGAGACTAGAAAGCTAACATTGAATGTTAACACAAACCAAATATCAGTGAGTGCGGCTGCCACTCCAGCAGCAAAGAAAAGAAACATGTGGTTTTCAGCTACTTGGAGCTATACACATCCTCTTGAATGGTTAAAAAACCAAACACGTATATATTTTCTATTCACAAGGCGTGCTCAACGTCCTGTATCTTATTTCTCTTGCTCATATCAAACACTCATTATGGAGACAAGAGGGAGGAGGCTTACTTAATCATCCTTGAGAGTCTGTGATGCTTCGGATGATGATGGTCTGGACGCAGGAATGTAAGACCATGCTAACGCCGCGCTTCCTAGGGTAATGGTCGCTGCAATTGATCCCCATATCCATCTCTGCCTCTTCTTTCTCTTCTGCCTTTCTCGTCGTGCCAACTCTGGTATCAACGAAGTAGGAGGTTAGATACAAAGAACCAAGAAAGAAATGACAATCGAATAATCTAAACTTTTTTTTACCTATGGCCTCTTGGTTTCGTTGGGACATTTCTCGGTTCACGGCTTCGTAGTGGTGTACACGATCAGACAAGCGCGTGATTTCAAAGTTTTTAGTTTCGAGCATAGATTCCATCTCCATCTCTACTTCTGCCTTGGCCATACCTCTGCTTAGAGAGTCAGAGACAAACCTAGCAACCTCGAGTTGGCAGCGCAATTCTTCTGATAGGTTCATATTGTTGGTGGAGGTGGTGGGATCGATAGGAATGAACACACCAACCTGTGCCAGCTGCTCACGGAGTCTCTGCCAGTGTATTTGCATCTGCTCCAGCGCCTCCTCTGTTTGTTTTCTCTTTTCGATTTCCATTAGTAAACTCAGCCTTATCTCCCTTAGTTCAGATTCAGTGTTGTTGACTGAACTCTGCATTCCACTGTCCGTTGATAGCTCTGGATGACCAAGAAATGAGAGCTTCAAGGTTAGGTTTGGATTGCAAAAACACCCAAAAATCACACCGTTGAGTTAACCTTTAATTAGTATAACATCCTTCAAGACTAATCTGACTCATGACTCTCAAGACCATAACATTCACAGCCATCTCACAAGGAAATACTAAATTAACGAAAATGAAATTTTAGAAACGTACCATCCCAAGCATCATAAAACTCTCCCACGGGTGTAGCAAGTCTGTTTGAACCTTCCTCTCCTACATCTGTGTTACTCGTGAAGCTTGCTGACTCACCTGGATCATAGAAATCTTCAGACTCACTCTCCTTATCTGCCTTGCCAGTAACAGGCTCCGGCACATTGTTCTCCCATTCTAAATCACTGGCAGTAGCGTTATCCAACTCCGACTTTCCATTACCAAGCGGACTCCAACTCCCAACAGGACCATCAACAACTCCCTCAAAGTCAAAGTCTGTATAATCCTCTTCCGTAGCCTCACTTATAGGAAACGAGAACGAGGTGGACTTCCTCCTAGGTGAAGCCTTTACATCTGCACCACTAGTAACACCTTCCTCTTCCAGGGTCTTCTGTTGGGAAGAAGCCACATTAGCTTCAGAAGAGCTTTTCAAGAGACGCGGCGGCCCGCGTGATTTATGGTTGATGATATAAGGCGACGGAGGGAAGGAGGACGGAGAGTTGGGGAGTGGGATTGCATCAGGAGTGGCGTAGAGAGCCGGTGACATCTTAGGACGAGTGCCTTTGCCATTCTCCAGCTTATTAGGTATTGGTGGCTTTGAGTAATACGACGACGTTGTGGTTGGAACAGTGTTGGCTGATGTAGAAGCAGCTCCTGGCTCTAGCATTCTATCCAAAGCAATAGCTGAAAAAGTAGGCATTGCTCTGCATCATCGAAAAATATTCAAATTAGTAAATTCTCTTTTAACGCCAATAGCAAAAGAGATATAGTAACCACAAAACCGTTATCCATTTCAATCAATCAGAAATGAGAATGCAATTAATCTGGCGAAAAAGATTCTCTCCGAATCTCGAGAGCTCACGAAAACCTAAAATCGAGGAAGAAGCTGGCGAATCAACAACAAAACTAAAACCTAGAAGATAACAAAAAGGTTAATCGAGTCTCCCGATGCAACACCTCTAAGATTCAAACCTACGTCTCGCCGTAGCAACAAGCCGATACGAAAACGTAAAATCGCTGGCGAATCAACCAAAATCGCGAATCTAGAAGCTAAAAATCGAATATCCGAAACGCAACGCCTCTAAGATTCAAACCTACGCTAACGAATTTTCCAGAAACTCCGCCGTAACAACTTCACCAAAACCTCGCCGATGTTCTAGAGGATACGAAAACTTCAAATCGAGGAAGAAGCTGGCGAAACAACCACGAATCTCGAATCTAGAAGCTAAAACAAAAGCAATAAGAACACCTCCAAGATACAACAATAACGATTTTACCAGAAACGCCGCCGTAACAACAAGCCGATGATAAACCGGAAAATAACGTAATCAAAATCTCGCCGATGTATATACGAAAACGTCAAAATCGCTGCCGAAACAACCACAAATCTCGAATCTAGAAGCTAAAACAAAAGCAATAAGAACACCTCTAAGATTCAAAACTACAATAACGAACTTTCCAGAAACTCCGCCGTAACGATAAAAACAAAATCAGAAGGCGTAGGGAGGAGGGAGAACAATCACCTAAACGGAAAATTAAACGGTAGATCGTGATTAAACGGAGGTGAAATGACGGCGAATATTGTTAGAAGAAGAGGAGGCGTGATATGGCATCTTATAAGAGATGCAAAGGAGGGAAGAAGACCTCTTCTCCAAGGCTTTTTATCGCAAACGCTCTTTCTTTTCTCTTTGCTTCCTCCGTTATTCTTGGTGACCCCAGCAAACTCGTTTAGTTTTTATCTTTAATTAATCATCTGCGCTTGGTCGTCGTACATTTTAGACAAAACGTGTCTTCTATAAATACTTTAAAAGACGGATTTAGCCTCCGGCTGTGTGATTTACGAGCAGGGTCGGCGCGATAAAGAGGGGGTATTTTGTGTAAATAAACTATACGGTAGGGTTTCGAGAGCAGGCTGAAACGTCGTCGTGGGAGGGATCTTGTTAAAGTGGGTCATACCGAATATTCAACGGTTTACGTGGCAAGTGTTAGGTCTTAAAAGTAAATTTTGGTTTTAAACGTAGGGCCCAATTTGTCTGTTCACGTATCTGTAAAGCCCATTTTGAAAACGATTTATTAAATATTTGTTTTTTTTTTAAAGCTGTTTTTGTCTTCTTCTAATCTGGAATTTGATATTTTTAAGAGCTAATTCGTAAACGTGATACATGTGAACACGCTTACAAGACTTTTTAAGATTTTATGAAAAGTGTTATTTAAATTCTGATCTTCTAAATAAGAGAAAAGAGACTATGTTATTATAAACTTTACTATTTGAGGAGGAGAAAAATCAAATGCATTTTGAAATTTGAAACTTTCGACCTTTTAATTTGAATTTTTAAAACAAAAGCTATTTGATGAAAAGAAATATCAAATGTATTTGCCATTTATACTAAAACAAAAGCTACAGGTGTGAAATCAAGAATATAGAACCTGATTCAAAGCAAGCAACTCTAAACCTCCTATATCAGCAATTACGAATTGATTCCATTAACATTATCATATATTTATCAAAATCAAAATCAAAACCAAGTTATTGGCCATAATAAGCTCATGGATCTTGAATTTATCTTATTCTTGAGCTCATTGAAAGTACACTAAACACTCTCAACTTTTTAATACAGTTAACCAAAAAGGTAATTCGTAAAACATGACAAATTCATAGTTGAATCCATCCTTTAAAACAGATCACTAGTTGTTTTTTGTTTCCTCATAGATTATATATATTAAAAGAACAATATACAAACATCTTTATTCATCTTCCTTTCATCCAAACTATTTGTAATGAATCACAGGTGCATTAGAATTCGGATCCCACACACCTCCTTCCTTCAAATACTCCATATACCTAGCAAACTCAGGTTTTGCCGTCGCCAAGTTCTTCTTCGTTGTCTTCTTCTTCTTCTTTTGGAAACGAACGTCGAAGAAACTTAGCAAAGGATGAACAGAACCACTGGTTGGTTTCACCGTCGGCGTCTTCTTCACCTCTTGAATCGGGTTTCTTGAATTACCATAAACACTACCTGGAACGCTTGTGACCCTCTTCAGACTAGGTTCTTCTTCCCCTAGCTTTTCGTAGCCGCCGTGGATCTTCCTAGTGCTCATGGCTCTAAACATGGTGGTATTTTTTTTGGTTAGGTGTGTTCTTGAATCTTTCTCTTGATGGTGGTGTTTATTTAAGTAAGTAGGCCATGTAAAGGAAAAATAGTAGATCTATTGACTTTTATATTTTGTGTAGATCTCTCCAACTAACTAAATTAAATATGTGTGTAATTTAATGAAAACCATGTGTTAGTGTTACACCCACATGATGTATACATCTCGTCCCTATTTAATCGCCGGTCAAGTGTGTTTTATGCTGACTATCACGTTTACATCTTTTAGACAATTCATATGGACAATGGCTTAAGAGTTTATATTAACTTGTCTTGTTGTGTGCAAAAATAATTTTCTTTGTCTCATCCGACAATTTATTAATATTCATAGAATGAAGAAAAAGCGTTGCAACTTTGTCAAGAACTTCCAAAGTTGAGGAGACCTCTCAGAAATTATTCGCAAAAAAATATGTGAAGCACTTGCTTTCAAACGCACGTAAAGTCTAGATGGACTGGCCGACTGAATTGATCATTTAATCATACTGTTCCTGTTACCCTTATTTGAAGTTAGACTTGGTCATATATTTTTGTCAACTAAAACCCATAAATAAACTTGGTCCTCTATATATCTATTTGTGTTTTGCCATCATCTTAGCTAGGAATGGGAGATGAATAGTGGAAGAAAATTTAAGAGAAAGAAGAAGAAGAATACACAAATGCAAAACAAATAAATTCATCCACCAAACTATGACAATCCAAAACAAAATTGTTTATTCAATGAACGGATTTTTATACTATACTATTAGAGGCAGGTCCTAAAAATATTTAATGCTTTAAATTTTTAATAAGAGACCAACCATGATTAATTTGTAAGTCTAAAGTTACTTTTAATATGAGATTGTTAAAAGAATTTGATGATAAGTTTGCCGACGACGGGTATTATTACAACTTGATCACACAACGAGAAATGCAGATAAGAAGAGGATGAGCAAGTTCTGTTTAAATCACCTTTCAGATGACGTTTAAACGATATCATAATCGCTGCGTCTCAGAGCATGCTGCATTACAAAATAGATGACATAATACAACAGCTAGACATCGAAGTAAAAAGCCAGATACACTACGACGACTAGATAATAAAATTGTTGTTTATCTCAAAATCAGTGTATGAACAATGATCAACTCAGCAATCACAATTTTCTTTTCTTTCTTGAACAGAATCAATTAATGCAATCTTCAGCAAGAAAAACGAATAAACTTCTTCAGCAAATACCAAGTTCACAGTTTCATCATTTGAACAAGTCTATTTCTAACCATCAATTGTGAACCAACCACAAGCCTCAGAAATTCCTTTCTATATGTCAAAATAATAAAAATTAAAATAAAATCGCTAGAAGGAGGGGTCGAACCTCCGACCTTGTGGTTAACAGCCACACGCTCTAACCAACTGAGCTATTCCAGCTATGTTGATGTGACTATGACTATAGAGATACATATATATTTCCGTACCATTGTTCCCTATTTATTTCAGTCCAAGGTTTATAATTCGTTGCAACTTGCAACCAAAAACTAACTTAAAAAAAGTTGTACCTTTAAACATAAGAAATCAAAAACATAATAGACGCTTATGTTGCAACATCTGCATCTACAATCCTACAAACTAGTCACGATTTCATACTCAAAAGTAATCTTAACACATAAAAAAAAGAAGTATTTTTCAGTTTCACATATGCGGATCACAAGTGTTACCGTTCTTCTTCATTGCTTGCTTGTTATTATGCATCCACACTTTGAAAACCTGTCTCCTTAGATTCACCAACCTACAAAACTTATCAATCTCATCTTCATCTTTCTTCAGTATCCTCCACCTTATTCTCTCTGCAAATTCTTTCATCTTCTCCTTTTGCTCTTCATTGATCTTCGTCCTTATCCTCTTCTTCTTCTTCCTCACCATCATCAAACCGTTCCGTTGGCTCAATATCTTCTTCATATCCTCGCTCGACGAAGAAGTCCTACGTCCAATCTCACCCGTTGGATACATTCCACGTGGCTTGATGGCCTTGTACAAGCTGCTGCCACTGTGGTGAAACATTGGAGATATCATTTCTTGTGTATTGTTTCTATGTCCGTACACTTCTTTCCGGTGGAAACTTCGGTGACAATTGCATGCTGCGCATTTTAGAGCAGCGAGCGTGCCCTCTTCTCCTCCGGGCATGAACTCGCAGCATCCGTCCACCACGTGTCCTCCGGTTAAGGCCGCGTGGTTCTTCTGGCACTCCTTGTACGTGCCTGCTTGGTCGCCACGTGCTTTTGTTTTTTGGTTTTCTTTCTTGACCAAGAATGGAGGTAAAGACGGATCTGAACCGGGTTTGGCTTTCGGATCTTGGTTGGTATGTGGTTTTGTGTCTAAGGTTTTGGTTGAGATTGTTGTTGTGGAAGTAATTGCATTGCAGTTTCCTCCAGGCTCCATTGTGATCTGACTTGAATGAAGACAATTTTGTTGAATTTTTGATAATTATAATCATCAGTAATGCATGCAAAGAAATATACCATTGGGATGATGTTTAATTAGTCAGTATTAATTAGGAATTAAATAGGAAAAGCTGATGGATCTTAGACTCACCTGGAGGGATTAAAGAGCTTATTGTTTCAGCAAAAAGCAGTGTGCAAGATGAGAATGATATTGAAGAAGAGGCAAGAATATAAATGGCGGTGGTGGTGGTGACGTGTGTGCACTTGTTTCCTATCACCGATCAAGTGTGATTTCACATGAAAATCCAACCAAATATTGATTACTGTTTATAAAACAAAAACTTACTAGAGAGAGAGTAGTGGTGCCACTTGATTTTGAGACATTGTCATATGTTTGTTATCACTCACCACCTGCAATTGGCCCATCTCCCATTATTGCTTTTATCTCTTTTCTATTTGTTTTGTGGTGACTTAATTGTTTCACTAATTAATGTGTGTCTGCAAAAACCCTAGTTTAGTCAAACCATTTACCAACTAGTAAAGACTGTAGGTAGGGTGTGGTATGAGAGATGGAAAATTACAACAATTCCTACCACAATATCAAACTAATTCTACTTTATTTTAAATTTCAGTTATAATATCAAATTTAACACTAAACTTACCTATTACTAAGTTATTAAATTTAGATAGATATTTATCGACTGATTGGAGAATAATCCACACTATTAAATGTAAAAACTATATTTGAGATTCTATTGGTGATTATCTCAAACTAAGAGAGTGATTCAATAATGGAAGAGTAAAATGGTGGGAAAGAGAGGAAATAATTTTTTTGAAAAAAACTGGAGTAACATTTTACACTTGTTTAAAGTGAATGAACAATTTACTCTAGTTACTTTTATTTTTAGAGTAAACTGGTGAAAAACCTACTTCACTTGATTGGCAAAAAAAAAAGTTAAAATGAGAGTAAAAAGTGAATTGAGAGTAAATAATTACTCTAATTGGTATATACAGTCACACCCTAAATATAATGTTTTGCCATTGTGATAAAGTTGACCTTATTCAACTAGTTATCCATTTAGTACATAACTTCTAGTGCGTTGAAAATTCAATTATCAATTCTTAAGATGATGTGTCATCTGATCAAGAAAATCAAGCTGGAATACTGTCTTAATTTGCCACATTTTGTGTTAGTATGTTCACATCTACATGTATAGATCATAAATTTAAATTTAACAATTTTGTGTGAAAACATTAATTATAAATATTTATATATCCACTAAAATAAGCGTCACACCTCAACAAAATCTTTCTATGAATTAATAAATGTTACAGTAAATCAACAACTGTGGTGGCTTGTTTGCATTGAGATTAGTATTGAGCTACTAGCCCATACAAGTAGGGTTGGGCACTACTACTAGTCGATGTTTACTCGTCACTTGCCTCGTATTCGGTTTAAAAATCAATTATTTGATTTTATCAAGTAACAAGTGGATAAATTTTACTATTTGTAAATACAAATCAAATATCAATTATTATTATGTTTTTAACTACTTGGTTTATTATTTATTTTTTTATTTTTTTTATTATTTGTTAGTCATTACTCATTATAAAATTATATTAAAATATGTGTTAGATGTTATTACTTATTATTTCAAATCAGAAGCAGACTTAATATAGTAGCAAATATCTGAAAATTAAAAGTAATTATCTCATGTGTAACTCTATTTTAAAGTTTTAGTACATTTAGTTTCTCAGTTTTCACAATTCCGAACATAAATTTAACAAGTAAGTAATAAATATAACCCAGTAATTTGTAAGTATTCAAATTTTAGAAAAGTAATTGCTTTACAAGTACTTGATCAATTCAAGTATAAATACAAGTCAAAATTTTAATATTTACATAAGACAAGTCAAGTAGCGGGTAGAGTAAAAACACCAAATACCCGATTTGTACATAGGTCTACATACAGGTTCAACTTCCCATACGGCCATACGGATGGAATTAGGGTCTCTAAAGGAGTTCTTTTGGATCAAATCTAAAAGAGGTGTTTACAAGAGAAGTTTTAACTATCAATAACTAACCTGAGTTAATCATTTAGTCTTGAAATAGAAGATATGTTGAATTATTATATGGTCTGGTGGGGAGGGTCGAGAAATTAAAATGTGAATAAATGAAAAATCTGGTCCACATAAGCACAAACAAAGACCTGCACTTTTATTTATCTCCACATGCCTCATGTCTTGTTTCCAGATTTTTTTGTTTCCCACAGCTGTGTTGCACTTGCACTATATGATTGTATTCTTATTTACCAAAATGTATCGAAATTAATGGAAATAGATTTTTTCCATATACAAAGAAAAATCAAAAGGAGCCTGACATCTTTAAACTTCAATAAATTCTCCATAAGGAAAAATTCCCAAACGTTTAAACGCAAATGTTGCCGCATTGGGCTGGTTGAATCACTGGCTCTCCAAGCCCAATACAAGGCGGGTATAAAGAATTGGCATATAACCCATGTTCCTTAAGCAACGAGTCCAAACAATTTTCAAAACATTGATAGTGATCAGTGATCCGGTGATGATGGTCAGAAATTATAATTATGTACTTTATAGAGGATTGGTGCTAGACACCGTCTAGAGCGATTCTCTTTAAAAAAAATTATAGTTTGTCTTGTTTATTACTCCCTCCGTTTTGAATTAATTGTCATTCTGGAGAAAAAAATTCGTTTCAAAATAAGTGTCGTTTTCAAGTTTCAAGACAAAATTTATTAGTTTTATATGATATTCTATTTTTCTATTGGTTGAAAAGTGGTTAGGTGTATAGGTAATTGTGTTTTTTTATTGGAAATATGTAAAATAAAATGTTTCCTTAATCTATGTGCAAAAACGTAAAATGACAATTAAAATGAAACGGAGAGAGTAGTATCTATCTATTTACCGCTTAGGCCAAACTTTAAAACATTGATAGTCAACCCACGTTAGCGGACAGAGGATCTATCTCTCGCCATAAACCCCACGAAGGCTCAAGCAATATCGATAGGTCCTAATTAGCCCCAAAAATTATCTGTCGGCTCATGCCTCATGGTCGTCACGTTAAGCCCAAATGAATTCTTAACTGCAACCATCTTAAGCACAATTACACTGAAAACACATGTCGCAACATAATCGTAGTAAATATTATTCATATCTTTTGGTGGAGATTGACTAAAGCTGAATATTTATCGACGACTGGGTCGAAAAACATTATATAATAGTGAGATTTTTTGTGATCGTGCAGAGTAGTTCTAAAAGCTGGTAGAATTGGTACAAACATCGTTGCATAATCGGTTCAACTAATAATAAAAAGAAAGACAAAAAATGAAAATATTCTGTTGAGCGCATATTGACACGAACAAAAGGTCAAGAAGAAATAAATAGAAAAGGACAAAACGACGGTCAACATGTAAAGGATAGAACAAAAAAACAGAGCATAATACGACAAAATAAGTTCATTAAATCACTACAATGCTCTGATCCAAACTGAAACACAACAGTACCAGACATACGAGTAAACCCAATTGGTACGATCAGAATCTAATCTCTTAATTTGACGATCAGATTTCAATCTTCACTACCAAACAGCTAGCTCCCCCCCACCTCCCCAAATTTTTATCATATTTATTTATTTTTCTTATTTTAACCAATTATGAAAACAAAACACAATAATAATTAAAGTCTCAGTTGTGAAATTCAGGGACTCAGGTGGAACTGAAACTTCTCCGTTAACGAAAAAACTATATACATTAAAAGAGTTATGTCCGATGTCTATATTTTTGGTCTGCCTTTCTTGTTTACGTTCCAACTTTTTTTCTCGTGATTGATTACATCACTCTATGTATTTGATGTGTAACATTCAAATTGACCATATTATTCATTTCAAATACTAAAGAAGGCAGAGGAAATTTCCAATAAGGAGGTTAAATTTTATAAAATAAAATACAAATTGGTTTTAAAGATTGACGAAAGTGGGTTATATAGATAATAAAACATACGCTAGACTATCACTATCAACACCATCACCATCAGCATCGTCTCTCGATATACTACACTTCTATTGCCTTTTTCAAATATTTTCTTCTTTTTTTTATAAATTAGACATAATATATTATTAAACCACATGGATTTTTGAAGAATCTAACGTCAATTTCCTTTTCCTTTTTTCATCTGGTAAAGTCATGAACAAGACTTGCCCTATCCGCCACATTTATCCACGAAAGAAACGGAACGCCACCATGACCACCAGCAGGATCACCGTTGTTAGCTATAGCGCCACCGTAATCATCCATGAATCTGATTTCATTTGCCGGATAACTGCACGGGACCCTCTGCGTCGTGTGATGAGCCCACGAGTTACCATTATTGTTGTTACCAGTTCCAACATTGTAACTGTTGTAGCCAGCGTTGTGATGTCCGTACTGATCAGCTGATACCGGTGCAGCTCCGATGACGGCATTCCCTGAAGCCGACGTGGTTCTTCTCTCTTCCTTCTTGAAACGAATGCCGCATGCGTTGCATAGGGACTGTAAATTCCAAAACCATCCATATCATTAAACCATTTATATCACTATTTAATGCTGTTTTCAATAAATAATTCTATAGAGAAACGAGAAAAATTCAAAAGTGGTATGCTCTTCTTTTGAAAATCTTTTTTAAGGTTGGTTATTTATTTATATATCAGGTTGCAACTTATCTTCAAAAAGGTATATTCAGTGAAATTTAATGGAAATTAACCACCTTATTAAAACATCAAAATCACTATTATTTGAAGAGAAAAAGAAAAACATAATATAAAAGGGATGAAATGTCTTCTTTTTGCAATCATTGTTATATTTCTTGATTAGGTCGCATTTTTATCATTGATCAAATGGAATTTAATTACCTTAGGGCCTCTAGGACCATTTCTCCACAGTGGAGTTGAAGTGGTGTCACAGTTGGCACAGCGTCTGACGAGGAGAGAATCGACACCGCCGTTACCGCCGGAGCAACCGCGTGATGGCTTGATTGGGTTAGCAGTAGAGAAAGAAGGGATTTTACTACACGGCTTCGCTTTGGAGTTGTTGTTTTTAGTGTTAAGCAAGTCCCAGAAGTTTGAGATGCAAGAGGAGGAGGTAGAGCGTCTGCGTTTCTCGTCCTCTTCGCAAAGACGTGTGGAAGGAGTTCCAAGAGAGAGAGTGCAGTCAACCACGGAGGAAGAGTAATAATCCTCACAGTTCTGCTCAAAAGCGCCGCCGTTTTGCATGGAAAACGCCATCGAGTAAGAGCTGGTGTTTGAGTTAGAGATGTTGTTGTAGCAGCAGCTTTGGCTGTGGTGGTGGAACATTCCACAAGAATGGCAGTATTGCCCCTGCGTTGAAGTATTGTATGGTGTCTGCATCATCTCTCGCTTTGAAAACCCTAAAATGTAAATTAAGAGAAGTGGGAGAAAATATAAAGAAAAAAAATCTAAGTAGCAGGTTTTCACGTCGGAGTGAAGTGAAGTGAAGAGTGGAGAAGAGAGTTTCACACCTATATATAGAATAATAGAATCAGAACTCAGAGAAGTGTATATGCAGGTTTTTAGTAAAACGAATATTTAAAATCAATAGAATATGTGGGGACGCAGCTTTTTACGATGTAATATTAATTTATGTATATGCAGGTTTTTAGTAAAACGAATATATAAAATCAATAGAATATGTGGGGACGCAGCTTTTTACGATGTACTAATATTCTTTTTTTTTCCGTCAAGTTTTTTTTTTTATATCTATAATAATAAAGTTCACATACCCAACCAGAGCTTGCAGTATAAATATCTCCCTCTGAGACGACAAACGTTTCAACCTTTCGCTTCCCCTCCTTTACTCCAACGTTAGACGTGCTTAGCCCACTCTCAAGTATTCAATCCAACTCAATTACATCCCCAACCAGAGCTTGCAGTATAAATATCTCCTCATCCACACATGGACCTCACACCTTCGACGACTTCCAAAAGCTTAGTCTGTTCAGCTTTCCACTCAATGAAATTGTGAATTGATACACCCTTCTTGCGGATTTGAAAGCCGGGAGATGATCCACCACTGCAGTGGTTCGGTTGCTGAGATTCTGGGAGGCCAAAAATGTGAGGAAAGACGGTGAATTGATGAGTATTGACATGCTTTTCATCGATCACAATGTCAGTACCTCTTTTTCTTCTCATATATTAGATTGATAATTTATGTAGTTAAGATGTAGTTATGATCTCTGTTTTTTTAAAGACAATTGTGTTCTTTTTTTTTAAGATTTGTGTGTCTAGACGATGATGTTCCTATAGTCAATGAAATCATATTCCTTTCTTGAATCGTCTAATTATTTGGTGTTGGTTTTAATATAAGACTGCGACTGTGTTCGTAGAGTTTTTTTTTAATATTTATTAGATTGATCATTTATGTACTTAAGATGTAGTTATGATCTTTGTTTTGTAAAGACAATCGTGTTTTATTTAAACAAATGTGTGTGCAAAACGATGATGTTCTTATAGTCAATGAAAGCATATTCCTTTCTTGAAACTTCTAATTATTTGGTGTTAGTTTTATTCTAACACTTCTGTTTGCAATGTTTAGTGTAGATCGGCGAAATTAGTAGTATCAACACTGTTTTTAATGATGAAAACCAGTCCATATAGCTGGTCTTAAAATGTTAACTGACACAAGTTTTGTTTCAGGTCGGCTGACTTAATGCAACCTCCACAATTCATTTCTATTTAATGAGAATGGTGCAGGTTCAAAGTTATCTTGAGAGGTAATGACTTTGACGCCTATTTTCTACAACACAGAGAATACCTTAATAGTCCAACCCACTGACTGAAAGCGGTTGTTATTTAGGACATGGGACGGTGGAAAAGGCCTGAAATCTCCACCCAGTATGCCCTACAAAATATGGGGGTGTTAAGAAGATTGAGCGAATGACGGTAGTAGAGCTTAATGATTTCGTCCTGAAATCTCCACCTCAGGTATGCCGTTAACTCAAACATAATCTTTCTTACTCCAATAACTGATTCGTAATTGTGAGGTTCATGTGAGTCTTTAGAAATATCTAGATCTATGAAATTTTATTTCCTTGGTTATTACTGATCGGGAAACACATTGACACATGGGAATGACAATCCTGAAGATAATATGCCTGCTGCTGGAGCAATCAAATGAAATCACAATCTTGGCTTGATAGCACACTGTGAATGATGGTGATCGTGTTGGTAATGGTGATGTTGAAGGAAGAGGTGAGACATCAGATCCACGAGACAACTTTGTTGATGAAAGCAACAAAGGAGAGGTGGCACATGTGGAGGAAGATTGGTATTCTGCAAAGAAGACACGGAATGAGTTACACTAAGAGATCAAGGGGAGCTTAATTTGCAAGATATGATGGCGTTTTCAGTGCATTGGTTTTTAAATAAGATCTCCAGATACTATTACTTCTGAGGACTACAAAGTTTTTGTTTCACTATTTCCGTTTTCTTTTTGTAACTTATTTTCAGTTTTTTTAGAACGTTTTAAGCGTATCAGTCATCTTTGCATTTAAAAGTATTAATATCATGTTCTCCAACACTGTTGCCTTCTCGCAAGAAAGCATAATCTAATAGTATTAGCATTAACCAGGATGTTGATTATTTCGTTCCCTTTTTTTATTAGAATTAACATGCAACGTAGAAAAATCAAACAGTACATGGCATAACAATAACATCCACAAATTTCAATACTTAATAGCTAAGTAGAAAAAAATGACTTTGTTTCAGTTGGTCAATAACTACTTTCAAACATCTTTCAACAAATTCCGTGCACCCTTATACTCCTTAACTTAAACAATTATTCGTAGGTTTTATAAAAAAAAAATAATAATTCGTTGATTCAAAGATGCACAATCCAAGCCTTTAGTCAAAAAAATGCACAATCCTTCGCTGCACAAAAGTCAAAGCATAGGAACAGTAAACAAAAGCATAGCTTGCACATTTACGAGGAAAAAGATTGAGGATTCGCAACAAGAAGATAGACTAAGTTATCTGAGTAAGAATGACACGGCAAGAACATCTGGAAACTCGAACCATATATTTGATATGTACAGAAAATGATATTAACATTTACATCTGTGTTGTAAATGATTTTAGTTTGGTATCATCAAAATAATTAGTATAGTAAATAATATTATGCTAAATTATGTTTTTAGAAACTATATCCTGCCAAAATATGCGAAGTATAGATTATAATCCATTGTACTAATATGAAAGTATATTAGATCACTTTTATATATATACTTTTCAACTATCCATCTAAACTAGATCAAGTGGTTGTTAGATAAGCAGATTTTCCAAAGAGCATCTCTGTCTAGACAGGTTTGATCTATGTGGGAAAAGATATAGCCTCTGGTCTTTGTTTCTTTTGCTAATGCGTCCGCTCGACCATTCTCATTCTAGGGAATATGAGACAGACTCACATTCTCGAAATCCTTCTGTAATCTCTGGAAGATTTTGATCTCTATCGCAAAATTTGGCCAATCCACCGGGTTTATAATCATGTCCACCAGACCCGAACAGTCCGTCTTTAACCGGATAAATCACTTATATATATATATATATATGATTATATTTTTAAATAATATTCATTTGGTTTGTGATCCATTATATATTAAAAGTAACAAAAAATCTCTTTTTAGTTTTTTAAAGATAATCATGAGTCCAATGAGATACTACTATCCAAAATACATGTATCTCTCTTCCCACAATGTAAAACATAATATCCAATGATTACAGTATTTTGATGCATTAAATACTAATACAAAATACTTATATATAAGATGCTAATATATTTTCATAAAATTATTAATATGCATTCATATTTATTATACTTAATTTTTGTAAAATGTCACAAAAAGAGCAATTCATATATTAATTCCCATAATCACATTTAAAAGTTAACTATTATAATTAAATTTATTTTAATAAAATAATTAAACAATTAATAATTAAAAATCCGGCGCGTAGCGCCGGAATACCACTAGTTAATAATAAACCGGGCCAAGCCCATTACACAACCGCAACCCAAACATTAAACCCAACTTTCAGAAAGCCTAAAAAGCCAGCGGGCCAAAATAAACCGGACTACAGGCCCTAGGTCCAAACCAAATGAAACCGACCGACACATTTTGTCGACTCTTCGAGGAGACCGGACACGTGTAATGATCAGAGTCGTCAGGCCGACACGCGTCACTTCCGTCTCAACTCGACCGACACCACCAAGAGATGTCACCGGAGCTAGCCCCACCGTAACCGCGTTTCGTCGGAGCTCAGAAGACCGAAGAGCCTCCGTCGAAACCAAACTTTCTTCAACGCTTTATCTTCTCCCGGAGAGCTTCATCGATACTATCGAGATCTCATCCGAAGAACAGAGCCTAAAACCATTTTAGCACACAAATCGAGAACAGATAACCACACCCGAGCCACAACGGGCTCCAACTTTATCCAAAGAACTGGATCCTCTAGAGCTGACGACGCAAGGCTGAAAGAGCCCTCACCCCCCGGAGACAAGACCGACGATGGCGGAGCTGACGAAGCCTCCACCTCCCGGAGACAAGACCGACGACGGCGGAGCTGTGGGAGCCTCCACTTCCCGGAGACAAAAAACCAACGGAGACGGAGCTGTGGGAGCCTCCTCCTCCCGGGAACAAAACATCAACTAACACAAAGAAAAGCTTCACCTCATCTTCCTCGAAACGACCGCGCCTTTACACCAGAGATAGATCCGCCATGGGTGGAACTAGTTCCAGAGCTTAGGCAAGGCGGAAGGCAGAGGAGACGAGAGAGAAGCGAGAACCGATTACTATTTATGTGGCACACGGGCTCCGGCGACGGCACGAACGCTCACGCGCCGGCCGCTCACCGGACCCAATTTGAGATCTTCTTTCTCTTTCTAGGCCGATGTACTAATATTCATTTATGTATTTTTCAAAAAATAAAAATAATTGATGTCATATACTCAAATGCGGTTCGCTTGCTTTTATGTTTTTTTTTTAATTACAATACACGATGATACCAGTATTATCAAGTTTCTTTAGACAACCAAGTTAAAGGAGATATTTTAATCACTCTCTATATTTTATACTTAGGGGGTGTTAGTGGGAGTTATATTGATATAGAGTTTGTTGATTTTAAAAGTTAATGGATTTGTTAAATTTGGAAAGAGTTGTAAAGAGTTTTGTATATTGTAAAAGTTTGTGAAAATAAATTGATATAATGATTCTAAGAATCTGAAGTATATATGTAGTATTCTCAAAATCTTGTGTTATGGGTTAAATGATGAAGAATACAACTCCTAATAACACCAACTTTAATAGATTTAAAGAATCATTAAAATTTAAACTTTTTGAATAACAATGGATTGTGCATAGAATTACTAAATCATCAAACCAATAACACTAAACTTTAATGAGAATCTAACAATCTATAAACCA